CAGACTGCAGACCAATTCAAGCAGACCGTGCAGACCGTGCAGACTGTGCAGACTGTGCAAACTGAGTACTTTTTGTCTAACACTTGACTCACTTTTTTCGATTCTAGTGACAAAATAGTGTTCAATATGTCCTAATGTTTGTTATTTATCCACAGGCGGCACAAACTCAACATCTGACTGTTGATTCGCGCGTTTAATAGACTTTCTGCTTTAATGGTCCTGAATATACTAAAACCAAGCATAAAAATAAACTTACATACATTCTGGGTCCAAACATTGTGTCAATTTTTGACGGGTTTGTGGTTTTATTTATTCTGTCTAATTTGTCGTTGTTGTTGTTGTTGTTGTGGGTTTTTTTTTCGATATATTCTTAGTCTTCGTTCTCCTTTTGACTGATTCATAAAACAAAGCAAGGACGGTGACTCTAAGCGACCTTGTGCTACAAATCGCTTTTGCTCCACAAAGTACAGAATCGCCATTGGACTAGGGGTATTCCCTCTTTCGCTTAGTTGAGCGTGACCGTAAGTATAAAACCTCGAGGAAAAAAATGCTTGCATGAAATTTTTTTCCCGAGGTTTTCCGTATGCGCCACGCACGATGGACTAAGCGAAAGAGGGGGCACTCGCAGTCTAAATCGCCACAAAAACACAACTGCCATAAGGACAGATAAATTAACCATCGCATCAACTCATCACGGCAACCGTACTGCGCTGAGAATTTCAAATGATATTCGGTTTTCTGTGATTTTTCCATGTGCTAGGCTTTTTTTGCGTGATCGCAGTCACACTCCAACAACTATTTGGAGTTACATTTTGTACACCAAGAGTACAAAATGCACATGTTACGTGTGACATTAAAATACAAGATACAAGTGAAGTTTATTTCTACATTTTCAAAATAGCTTTACTTAAGCATATTCAGGACCAAAGGGAGTTCCTCTACAAGATCTATAACACATCAACAGTCACATACCACCGAGTTTGCGTGGCCTGTGGATAACAAACACTCTGATACATAATTGAACAGAACCAAAAAATATGCGAGTCAAAAGTAAATGCAAAAACAAGAGTGAGAAAAAAAAAAGTACTCAGTCTGCACAGTCTGCATGGTCTGCACTGTCTGCGGTCTGCAGTCTGCAGTCTGCATGGTCTGCGTTTTGGGGTGACCGCAAATATCGGGATTGAGTACTGTTCCTGACCATGTACTGGTTATTTTTGAGCTACATTTGCTGGCTATGAAATGAAAATCAAACAAACAATTTAAATGTGGGGAATTCTGTATCAGATATACAGAGATTGCTGTTGTTTTCCCTCATTAATGTATTTTAATCATGTGTATTATTACATTGTACATGTACAGTAGATCAATAAGTGACTTCAATTATGATTAATTCAGAAGCTTGGAAATAAGTTTACGCTGCATTGTGGTGTTGCAAGGAGACGAGTAATGAGCACCAAAAATACTTGGTGAATTTAGAAGTTCTCGATATTCACAGCTGAATTATTTTATAAAAGTAGGTCGTGTCGCTTGTCTGAATTTTAAAACATTTCGTGTCGGTGCTTTGTCAAGGTTTCACGTTGCCGTGACCGTTTCTGTCGGAAATTTAAAGAGAGGACGTCGTTTGTCGCGATTTCACTTTACGTGCTGCCGCTAATTTTTAGGCCATGTCGCTTGTCGGAATTTACCCTGGCTGAGGCTCAAAGTACTATTATTACCTGGCCTGGGTTGTTCGAAAGGCGGATAACGCTATCCACTGGATAAATCACTATTCAGCGGATAGCGTGGTTTGTTTTGTTAACACTTATCCACTGGAAAGCAATTTATCCGGTTGATAGCGTTATCCAGCCTTTGAACAACTGAGACCTGGTCTCGCTTTCCCCTTAGCAACCTCAACTCGTCTTTGCGTTTTGCTGTCCATCGCCAGGTATATCCTCAAATAATTTTCATTTTTTCTAGAAAGATTCAACATTTAACTAAAAATAACATCAGACATTATTTTCCACGAAAACAAGAAAAGCCTTCAATAAAAGGCTTAGTTTTTGACCGGCAATTTGTCAATGGATATGGATCACACGAGGTTGACAGCAGTAAGTTTGGTCAACCGTTCACTCCAAATGCCAAGTCTTCTCCGCCAATATAGAGTGGGGGTTGGAACTAATGATAAATTGCTTTATTACATAAGTATAGAGATTTACGTACACTTCCGTGATGAAATAAACATGACATACGATGTTTCCACTAGTGAAAAATTGTCGTATCGGCCTTTTGATTGGTCGGACAATTTTTTTTCACTAGTGAAAAATTGTCGTATCAGCCTTTGATTGGCTAGTATTATGTCAAACTTTGGCGCGAGTGGCCTGTGCGCCGCCAGCGGGAGTAAAATTTGTAAACATGGCGGCCGACTGGTATATGGTTTTCAAAGTTTTTGATCTTTGATTACTTAGTTTTCTCCGCAAAATACTTCAGAAGATCTTAAAAAGTTTTTGAAGTGCTCAAGCGAGGTATGGAAGGTAAAGATTTGTTTTATTTCAAAAATATTTTGCTATTTGTTTGGCACTTTTGTTCACGATCGGTGGTTTGATACCGGGAAGGGGGTACTCGCATATGAAAGGGGCAGGGATGCTCGACTTCTCGCTTAGAGTGTTCTGGGCAAAACGCCATTATATTCAGCCGTGAAGGTCTCGTTTAGGGTTTACACCCTTAGAACTATAAAAATATATATTCAATATAAATTCTATTTCCTTGTGGTGAATGGATTTCAAAAAGCGCTCAACTCTTAGAGGAGCATAGTATAT